GCTCATCTCCATTTCAAAGAGCCAGTGTCTGCTGTCTGAAGATGTCTCTGTGGTCATGTGGCCGGCATGACGAAATGCTGAAGGCGCACGGAACGCTGTTACCTTCCCACCAAAAGTGGTTCCTATTTTTCTACTTTCATTTTTACATGCTTTCAAACTGTTAGGTTGGCAGAAGCTGGGAAAAGTAACAGGAGCTCACTCCGTTACACGACGCTAGGGATTCGAACTGCCAAACTGCTGACCTTTCTGATCGACAAGCTCAGTGTCTTAGCCACTGAGCCACTGAGTCCCTTTATGTATTAGCTTAGTTTAATATAATATTGATATTTTATGTAATATTAAGTAATTCATCATTAACTGATAATAAAACATCAGTTCTGGCTGAAGTTTCCATACATTTGTTTTAAATAATTAGTTGTCAGCATCAGAGGTAGTTCTGTTTCAAGTCTGTTTCACTGCCTACCAAAAGAATATCATCCCATGTTGTTTGCAGGGCATACTGTGTGAAACCTTTAACAAAGGAACTTAACTATGTGGTTAACTTATGAACCACTTTTATTCTGAGTTAAATAATTGACCAGTCAATTTTGGTGCTGTCTACGTTTCAGCAGTGAATATATGCATCAAACTATCTGCTACATTTTTCACTAAGCTCTGTGGCTTCACTTCAATTGCTTATTGATGTTGAGATTCCCCTTGAACATTGTTAATTTTTCACGTGTTCCAATATGAGATGCCTCAGTTGTGTATGTACGTGATTTTAAAATTTGCTTTGCCACTAAATGTTGACAGAACTTCATGTGGGCCCCACTAATATAGAAAAGAAGCAGACAATACCCAAATATGGTACTTGTTTCAGATTGTTGGGGGCAATATGCTGATTATGTAAACCATTTAGAGAGGGCTGTAAAGCACTATGAAGCGGTGTATAAGTGCTATAATGCTATTTATTTCACGAACAAATAATTCAGAATATAACATCTCAGTATGAACATTAATATTGACCTCAATTCAATAATTTAAATTAAAGGATTAACTATGGGCAATTCTTTCTGTGTTGCATTAAACAATAAGGGCTGTTTTGGGTCACTCATGGTTACAAAGTTTGGTTTCACTCATCATAGTGAATAGGACAATATTCGAGAAAGATGACATGCCCACTGCATTTAAAAAAGGCATTAATACCTATCAGTTTGCAGAAGATTACAACACAATTTCGGAAGGTCTGGATGTCTCCAATTCAGTCAGATATGTACTCTTGAAATTGCGACCATTTGCGATAATACTGAGCTTTTCCGAGAGTGTTCATCTTATCAAAATCACTGTACGAATAGAGCATAAAATGGCCAAGGACAATCTATGGATCTGCAGGTCAATCTCATCTTGGTTAAAGTTCATGACTCGCTTTCAGAAAAATTTCAGAGTAGAAATGGGATTCGTGGAAGAGTAGCAAGGCAGATGCCACATCAATGTTCACACAATTTGTGTGCATGAACCATAAACAATCACAAATGAACTCTTTTTCTTCTTTTTTTCTTCTTTTTTCCCAGAGATTGGTGACCATCAACAATATTTGCTCTTTTGATGTTACTAAACAAGGAAATACATTTTTGTTAAACAATACATATAGTTTTTTGAACTAGGATTGATGCCATCTGCCAGTGCTATGTTTTCTTGAATCTTTTCTTTATATTTCTGATTGCTTACCCTGTGTGCTTAATATTTTACTGTCCTTTTGGTGATGGTATTCACAATGTCCAAGCAGAGTATTTATTTGTCTTTGGAGGACCATCTCATTTTGTTTATATGCACACTATGATATTTTATGTAGTCTTCTATAAAATCCACGTTTCAAAGTTTTCTAGTCTCTTTGTTGTTACATGAGTGATCATATGTTTCTGCCTTACAACTAAGAATGGCAAAAATGTAATGGCAGATACTGGCAATTTTGCCTCAAAACACTCAGTGAACTTACTTCATATTGCAAACATTTATTAATCAACTCTTTAAAAACATACATGTGAAATCCAGTTATGGTTTGTCTTAAACATACAATATGTGCTACTATTAATGAATTGGAGTCTTTTTGATGAAGAACAACTGAAAGTGCAAGCTCTTTCTCTAGACTTTGAGAAAGGGTGAAGCTATCAGATTTGGACTGATGATATTTGTACAGTTGCTAGATGGCAGCAAAGAGTTGAGGTTCTGTGTTTCTTTGTTGCCATCTAGTGATTGTTCAGATTTTTGCAGCCCTGATCTGGTAACACTAGGATGAAGG